TTGCGTACTATGATTAACCCTTTGCGTCACAGTGGGTCGCTCAGCGACCCACCTTTGGTTTTTCACTATATTACAATTATATTTCATATGAATTCGCTTGAAAATCGTTACTCGGGGGTTTTCGGGGTCGCTGATTACGAATCTGACTTTAGTTTTTAAAAATTCAAAATGGCCGATCCAATATGGCGGACATAAAAGTTAAAAATTAACTGAATTCTCTTGAAAATTGATACTCGGGGGTTTTCGGGGTCGCTGATTACGAATCTGATGTCAGTTTTTAAAAATTCAAAATGGCGGATCCAATATGGCGGACATAAATTTGAAAATTGACTGAATTCGCTTGAAAATCGTTACTCGGGGGTTTTCAGGGTCGCTAAATACGAATCCGATGTCAGTTTTTTAAATTTCAAAATGGCAGATCCAATATGGCGGACGAAAAAAAAAAAAGTCAACGCATTCGCTTAAAACTCGTTACTCGGGGGTTTTCGGGGTCGCTGATTACGAATCTGATGTCAGTTTTTAAAAAATCAAAATGGCGGATCCAATATGGCGGACATGAAGTTAAAAATTTACTGAATTCGCTTGAAAATCGGTACCAGGGGTTTTTCAGGGTCGCTGAATACGAATCTGATGTCAGTTTTAAAAAATACAAAATGGCGGATTCAATATGGTGGACATGAAGTTGAAAATTGACTGAATTCGCTTGAAAATCGTTACTTGGGGGTTTTCAGGGTCGCTGAATAAAAAAATAAAAATAGAATTTTAGAATTTTAAATGTTTAAATAGGAATAATAGATGCTTATCTTTAAATCATGTACCTGACAACCCTTGGATTAGTAACCTGTAAAAATAAACGTTTTTTACACTCAGCAGTATTGTTATTTACAAAATTGTTAGCATTTATGTTTTTGTAACTGAATCCAATGTATACCTTTTTTTACTATCATAAAGATTGTTGACGATCGTCATTTGTTTCACTGACTTTTTTTTGCGACGATCGTAATTTGTTTTATTTATAAAAATAAAAAAAAAATAAATAAATAAAAAAAACAAGGTGGAACCAAAATCTTGCCAAGTCCACGTCGTTGGTTCTGGGTAACGCTGAGAGCAGGATAGATAAAAAAAATGAAATTATTATTTTCGAAAACTGACATGAAATTCGTATTCAGCGTCCCCGAAAACCCCCGAGTAACAATTTTCAAGCGAATCTAATCAATTTTCAACTCCAAGTCCGCCATATTGGAACCGCCATTTTAAATTTTGAAAAACTGACATCAGATTCGTATTCAGCAACCCTGAAAACCCCCGAGTGTCAATTTTCAAGCGAATTCAGTTAATTTTAAACTCCAAGTCCGCCATATTGGATCCGCCATTTTGAATTTTTGAAAACTGACATCAGATTCGTATTCAGCGACCCCAAAAACCCCCGAGTAACGATTTTCAAAAAAATTCAGTTAATTTTTAATTTTTATGTCCGCCATATTGGATCCGCCATTTTGAATTTTTGAAAACTGACATCAGATTCGTATTTAGCGACCCCGAAAACCCCGGAGTAACAATTTTCAAGCGAATTCAGTTAATTTTTAACTCCAAGTCCGCCATATTGGATCCGCCATTTTAAATTTTTAAAAACTAATGTCAGATTCGTAATCAGCGACCCCGAAAACCCCCAAGTAACAATTTTCAAGCCAATTTAGTAAAAAGAAAAATGTGTGACTTAAAGGGTTAAGAGGAGAGGTATAGTCAATAACGAGTCTTTATTTAAAACCTTCGAAAGATTGATATATTGTAACAAAAGGAAGTTAAATGAAGGTACAAAGAATATATGAATATAAAGAATATAAAACAATATATAAAACAATAAATAAACAAATGGCTCGATATAATGCAAATAATAACTAGGATGAGTAGGTCATCCGGAAATCTCGAGTGACTCGACTGCACCGCCCTCTACCATATTGTTCTGGCCAGTTTCTTTTCTGAAATGATACAAAGTACCTTTAATATTCGCGATCGCGTTCACCAGGAGTTAATCCCGTATAAATCCAAAATGTAAGTTAAGCAATTCACGGCAAACGTAAACTAGAACGTGCACTCTGAGATAATCGTTTCCAAAGAAAACTAGAAGGGAAACGATTGGGTTGAAGAATCAGGTATGTACCTGATACTCTTGCCTGACGTGAACTAGGAACATTAAGGAACATCTCTGGGAAATATCTTAGACCAGGGGGCACCCTGAGTTAAAGATACGGCCCTGAGCTTCGCATCCAGGTGATAGAGATTGCCCCTCTACTCACCTGGGGCGGTGAACGAGAAAGGAAGTACCTATCTCTACGTCCTCTCGCGGGAGCACCCACAGAGAAGTCACGAAGACGATACTCTAGGTTTTTGGTAGTGACGTCATACTCGCATCTTCTCGCAGGAGCACCTACAGAGAAGTCGCAAGGATGACGTTCTAGGTACATGAAGGTATCTTCTCGGTCTCTCGCAGGAGCACCTACAGAGAGTCCAAGTTGATAAGGAACAAGGAGGTAAAGTAAGGTTCACTTGACACGGAAGCACCCATAATCAAGTGTACCATACCTTGCATTACCTGAATTCAATGAGGAGCGCCTCAATTGAGTCCAGCTATGGGATTCCTTTTAGCAACGGCGCTAAGTAGCGCATTGCATTAATTAGCACTAAAAAATTAATTTTTTTTACAGACTTATTGTATATGATAATCAAGATCAACTCCCGTTTGAATTTTGTCAAAAAAATTAATTAGTGGCGTGTAAGATAAAAAACAAAGTCTATCGGCGCTACGAGTTAGCGAATTGGTCAAGATTTTGTTCCAAATCGCTACGGTGTAATCGCTTCGGAGCGTAGCGCAAAGTCACTAGCTATAACACAAATTGAAATTCACTTAAGAGGAGAATACACTGAGTTTTTTTCAAAAAATCAAATTTTTTTTAGTTTTCGTTACCATAATTATTTAAGATAGCGGTAAAAATTGTTTACAATGTATCCAAGGGTTATAAAAGGGTTAAAATAAATGTTTATGTTAAGCATGGAGATGATTGTTCGTTTTTTTTAAATTGTAATATAAGTACTGTACTGTACTGTACTGTACTGTACTGTACTGTACTGTACTGTACTGTACTGTACTGTACTGTACTGTACTGTACTGTACTGTACTGTACTGTACTGTACTGTACTGTACTGTACTGTACTGTACTGTACTGTACTGTACTGTACTGTACTGTACTGTACTGTACTGTACTGTACTGTACTGTACTGTACTGTACTGTACTGTACTGTACTGTACTGTACTGTACTGTACTGTACTGTACTGTACTGTACTGTACTGTACTGTACTGTACTGTACTGTACTGTACTGTACTGTACTGTACTGTACTGTACTGTACTGTACTGTACTGTACTGTACTGTACTGTACTGTACTGTACTGTACTGTACTGTACTGTACTGTACTGTACTGTACTGTACTGTACTGTACTGTACTGTACTGTACTGTACTGTACTGTACTGTACTGTACTGTACTGTACTGTACTGTACTGTACTGTACTGTACTGTACTGTACTGTACTGTACTGTACTGTACTGTACTGTACTGTACTGTACTGTACTGTACTGTACTGTACTGTACTGTACTGTACTGTACTGTACTGTACTGTACTGTACTGTACTGTACTGTACTGTACTGTACTGTACTGTATTGTACTACCCTGTTTTTAAGTTGTTTTTTAATTAGAAGAATCCGTAGAGTAGCTAAGCGTAGCGTAGCGTAGCACTACTTAGCGCCGTTGCTAAACGGAATCCCATAGCAGGTAGCCAGGAACTAGGAGTGAGATCGCTTCCATCTAGCCAGAGGTGCACCTCAAAGCCAGTCGGAAGACGAACTGATGAAAAAGGTGCGAGCCGCCAGGTATATACTCTCGCTAGGTAGCCAGAGGCGTTAGCGCGAGGTGGGGGAAGAGAGAGACGCTGCTACTTACGCCGTCTACTTTCTCTCTCTTCGCCGGGCGAGTATTCTTCATAGAGATAATATAAATAGAGTGGAGATGGTCTGTATAGAGGCGTCCGTTTGATAGAAAGAGAACGCGATTTTAGCACCAGTAGGTGTCTCTCTTGCGCTGGTGCTTATTGAAGGACAGATACTGGTGTTAAATCTTTCTTCTCTTTCCAACCCATTCTGTTTATGTCAGGACACTTCCCTCTAGAGTGGAGATGGTCTGTATAGAGGCGTCCGTTTGATAGAAAGAGAACGCGATTTTAGCACCAGTAGGTGTCTCTCTTGCGCTGGTGCTTATTGAAGGACAGATACTGGTGTTAAATCTTTCTTCTCTTTCCAACCCATTCTGTTTATGTCAGGACACTTCCCTCTTACGCAGCCGCCTATACCTTGTCTACTCTATTTATATTATCTCTATGGTATTCTTACGATACGCCTATCGTTACACTGTGAAGTGATGAATCACGAATGCTAACTTGACGTCAAGTTAGCAGGGCACCCTTGTAGAAAAAAAATATTTGAACGATAAAATTATTTCTTTCTCAAATAATTAGCGATTAATTAACGGCAAAATATCCAATTGTGAATTACTCAATTCTGTAAAGTTGTACTATTAACTTGATATACATTTATAAAAGTATATTAAAACTATATTATGAATGCATTAGTTGTCTGCACGCAAAGAGATGACGTAGTTATTAAGGGAATGAAGTAAGTAATGGGAATGAAAGGCGAAAATTTTTCAGTTTTTCGTCTTTATCATCAACAATATTAAGTTTAGAAATAAACTTTAAAGACAAAAAAGTTGCGCAATTTAATTTTTCATTGGATTATTTAGTTAAAAAAATTTAATTTTGACTTTTAATTTTTTTCCTTTTTGATCCGTTGACTGTTATGAAAACAGTCCGGCCGAGCGCAAATCGAGTTATAGAATTGGGAGGTACCAAATTTCAGCTCTTAATTTCGAATCTTTTATTTTTGTTGCAGAGCAAGCGGAAACGACAGCAAAATACGGACAACAAATCTTCGAAAAAATACAAAGAATTTAAATTCTGAACACTTTTGCAATGTATTAAATTATCATGAAAAACGATTATTAAAATATTTCAATCATCTGAACGTATTTAGATTTTGATTGTTCAAAACTTGTATTACGTTACCTTTTGTTTACAAATAATTTTCAAAATAAAAAATATATGCAAATGTAACAATATACACTTTGAAATTATGGGTAAACCATTATAATAAAGCAGTAAATCTAATTTTTCAATTTAGACTTTTTTCAGTCCTATTTGTTGCCGAATGTAAGAGAACGGGATTTTGGATAGGTTTGTATTTAACCCTTTGCGGCATAGACTTTCCATTCCATTTAAAAACAAGTTGTTCATTTCATGACTATTTAGCTTCCTCATTATGATAAATACTTATATTATAAGTTTTGAAAAAATGCGAAATTTCAATTTTTTGGTAAAAATAAAAATAGCGATCAATTTTATAAATACTGGTAAAATGTAAACTATATAAACATCAATGGATTCGTTTTGATGCCAGGAATATAATTTTGCCAAAAATTAATTAAAATTTCTATATAGGGAAAAGTTATTTCCAAAAATGTAAAAAACGATTTTTTTCAAAAATTCAAAAAATGATTTAATTTATAGATTTTATTAAACTGTGAACTTTATATAGGTTAATCGATTAGTTTCATTGCAAGAAATAAGTTTTTTTACCAACAAAATTAAATTTACAATAAAAAAAATTGTTTGTCAAAAAATAAATTTCTCAAATTTTGAAAAAATTGTAAAAAAAAATTTGTGGATATATTTCAAAATCCTTGTGTCAGATTTTAGAAATTAATGACTGCAATAAATAAATAAAATTTAGAACAATCCGTCAAAACATGTCTGAGATACTTCATTCACAATATTTTGTAACATACACACACATACTGTCAAGACATTTGCTCAGAACTTCATAAATATTTATTTTAGATAAAAAAGAGTCTATATAACCTTCTTTTAAAAAATTTAATATCGTCACGAATGCATAGCTTGTGACAAAATTGCTTTAATGTCCCGCCTATGGCAAGCTTACTCGGTAATCTTGTTACAAAGTTACATTAATTTTTAAAAAACTTACTGCCGCTCAAGTTTGCAGCAAGTTTATTGAGCAAACTTGTTTTAACATTAGAGCAAACTTCTATTAAGCTTGATGCAAGCTATATATAATAACAATATATCAAACGATCAAACAATATATCAACGACTCCAAATAACCATGTATATCATGATTCAACTGAATCCGATAATTTTTAAAATTTCGTCTGCCATTTAAAATTTTTTAAAAATTGACTTCATATTCAGAATCATCGACACCAAAAACCCCCGAGTAACAAGTTTCAAGTTAAGGGGTTATACCACTTTAACACAACCAAAAAATACGCTTTTTCAACAATTTTTATTGAAGAATAGAATTTTTTTAAGAAAATTAAAATACAGTAGGGTATTAAACTACTCTTGAACTATATTTTTTAAATGTCGGTCTGACAGATGATATGACGCAGTGCTTCAAAAATGTATAGCCGTGCGGTGGGCACTCTAACTCGGTCCAGAATTGAGCTAGATAAAAATAAAAAAAGCATTAGTTTCTGCAGCTCAAAATCTCAAAATCTACGTATCAGTTTTAAAAAAATTCATTTTTTTGCAAAATGGCATCGATTTGAAGGAAAAAGTGCTTATTTTTGTCTAAATTTCGTTACTTAAAGTTGTCTAGAAAATTTAAATATTAATATTTCAAGAAATCCTTACGTATTTCACTAGATAATTATATGACAAACAAAATAAAATTACTAAGAGGATCGATTGAAATTTGTGGCAGCTAGAATGCCCACGGATTTTTCAAATGTAGTTTTGAGAAAAACGCGTTTAAAATTTTCTTAAAGGGAGATTAGGGTGATTTTTTTTCAAAAAATCAAAATTACTTTTTTTTCATTTTTGGTTAGTATAACTATTTAAGAACACGGGAAAATTAGTATAAACTTTTAAAGCCAAAGAAGGATCTGTGTATGGAGCCGGTATCGCCGATTGAGTAAGAATCACTTTTTTGTTTAATTTCTATTTAAGGGGTTATACCTAGTCACAATTTTTAAAAAATCGAAATTTCTTTTGCAATTTTTTAAAGTATATATATACTATATATATTTGACTGTTGTGAATGTTAAAGACGAATTTTGATAATTAAAAAATGAGTTTTTAACTGTTTCAATCAACGATTGATATTTTCAAAAACTCTAAAAAAATCTTAATTCTTTAACTCACGTTGCCTTTCGGAAAATTAAATTGTAATAGGTAGTAGATCCCCTCCTTACCTCACTATTATTCAGTGAGTTGGTTGAAATTCCATATTAATAGAACAATTGGTTTTAGGAATATTCGAAAGAAATGGTGAAACAAATATTTAAATAAAAAGTTGAGAAAAATTCGATCCTTGGAAGGAATAAAATAACATAAAAAATGTATGTTATTAATATTGTTTATTGTCACAAAACAAGAAACGACGTTTCGATGACTTGTTGTGTTTCCTGTTTCGATGTTCTTGTTTTGTGACAATAAACAATATTAATAACATACATTTTTTATGTTATTTTATTCCTTCCAAGGATCGAATTTTTCTCAACTTTTTATTAAACATTCCGGAAGGGAAAATCCTTACTCTACAAATATTTAAATAGTTGTGAATAAATATATATTTTGTAAGAAACCTAAATGATACAATAGTAAAGTATTCTGTATTAAAATACAATTTAAACGTGTGAAATGTAATGTATGTGTAAGAATGTTGTGTGTGAAATTTATTAGAGTCTCTTGACTCTTATGATATTTACCTCTGGAATTCCTTAGAATTGTATCTTCAAAACACTCGATGAAATTCAATTCAAATATTAAATTAAACCTCCAGTATATTATAGTTATTTTCTATTCTCTTTCTTTCAAATAATTATTAAAATAATTAATCTCAAATCAAAACTAAGTGATCTCAAAAACTCAATTATATACTCTTTGTTCAAATCAAAATTAAATACTCTTAATTCAAAACTTCAATTATTCACTCTTTGAAAAACTCTGAATTAAATACTCTTTTATCAAATTATCTCAAACTCAAAAATCACAACTCAAATCAAAAACTCCAATTTAAAAACTCAAAATAAAACTCCAAATGGAAACAACCTCGGACTAGAGGTTTGTTTCAAAAAGTTTTCCACTCAGAGACTCAAACTCTCAAAACTCCAAGCTCCAAACTGAACTCTCTCTCGTCATTCCCAAACTGACTCTAAACAACCCTGGTCTAAGGGGTTTTTCCACCTGTCTCACTCGGAGACCACACTTGAAAGACCTCGATCTTCGTGTTAACTGATTTTATTAAGTTGACTTTTGGTAGAGAAAAGTATATTTTATTTTATTTTTTAACAACTTTATTATTGTCAATGATTTTATTGCAACCTTGGAATATTGGGGTAGTGTTCCAGTTCAGTTTGAATTGACATACCTTGGATGCAGCACTGAAAAATTTTTTTATTAAGATTCGAGGAATATTTTCGAAGTTACAGACATAATTAGCAAGGAGGCGCCGTGCGGTGTAGAGCAGGTAAAGCATCGGTAACACCCATAGAAATCTGATTTTTTTGTCCCGTATATTATATTCTACCTTACAATTTTCGTATAACTGAGTATGTATTCAAGAGGCATTCGTTCCCTTGCCTTACAATATAACATATTTATTATCTCACACATTTATTACATACTCAATGTAAACTGTTTGTGAAACTTTAAACTCGTTTTTCTCAAAACTACGTTTTTTAAGTCGGTGACCACAATATCTGAAAAACCACTGAACCGATTTGGCTCAAATTTTAACACAAGCTCAACAACTACATTTTGTTGTCGTTGATCGAAGGTTTTTAAATAAAATTAAAATTATTAATTTAATCAACAATTTAAGACGATTTTTTTAAGAAGCTGCCATTTTGTGAAAAAGTGATATTTTTTTTAATTCCTTCGATCAACGACAACATTTTCTTATAAACTAACAGAATATATTTTATTTTTTGAGTTTATATGACTCTCTCAGAAGTTATGCTGGTCATCGCGAGACACATTTTTTTGAGGACCCTTGGGAGATCGCATGCAAAGGGCAGAAAAATTAATATTTTTATGAATAAAATATTTTTTTAAATGCACTAAAAGATTCCTGACATGTGTAGTTTTCGTGTAAACTAGGATTTTTAAAATCCATTAATATTTTTAAAAGTTATAAACAATTTAAGTTGCAAAATTGTTGTCAAAAAATAAAAAAAGTCTGCCAATCGTTTTTTTCAATAAATATTTCTCATTCTAGTGTACACGATAGCCAAAATAGATTAAGAAAAATGTTAGTTTTTTCATTTTAGATTAACTGTTCCAGAGAAAAAGTGTGACAAACTTTTAAAATGTACCACTTTCGGCAGCCATTTTTTATTAGATTGTTAAAGAAACAAAAATTGTTTTCAACTCTTTAAAGTATATATAATATCAGCTACGCCAGGTCCATATAGCATATTGTTACATCCGGAGATATAACATCATTAATTTAAAATTGATTAATTTTGAAGTCTGAACTTTCGTCCAATAACTTGGGAATCATTTCGATTAATTTTTCTTAAGAAAAATTTAAGAAGGTTAGGAAGTGATTTTAAAAGGAATTGAGAAAATAATTTCGCTCCGGTAACACTAAAATTTCTTGGAAATTTTTAGTTAAAGAATTAAAATTTTATAACTTGTAGAATGACTTTAAATTTTTAGAAGTTAGAATGTTGAATAAGTTTTTAGATCAGAAATTTTGAAATGACTCTTTAGAGTTTGTGAATAGAAATTTTAATGTTGAAATAACTAAAGATTTTAGGAAAACATACGTTTTTAAAGGTTTGTCCCCACTACAAATTTTGAGTTTTGGGGTAGATTTTGAAGAAGGGAAAGTTTTTTTGTAGAATGCGAAATTTCTTGTAGGCGGAGAAAAAAGGTAGTTGAGAAAACTTACTATTGGGGTTTCTCGAATAAATAGGTGAAAACTCGAAAGAAAAAAAGGAGAAAACTCATTTACTAGAAATTAAGATTTTTTCGATTACTGGAAGTGAGAAATAAAACACCAAATCACTTGTTTGACAACGTTTCGGTGTCTTAATTTGATACCATCATCAGGCCACTTTATTAAACAAAATTAAAAACAA